CTCTAGCTAGGGTAGCAGATGGACAGAGATTAGTCTCGAGTCAAATGAGATCCCACAGCTTCACCAGGTCTCTGCCCCAACCTCACAAGTGCCTCCAATCCCCCCCATTGTTTGTGCTACTGGCTAGTAGCCATATGGAACCTCGTGGCGGAGGAAGGTAAAAGTTAAACTCCCACCATACGAGGGGGCAGCATGACAGCCATCTAGCAGATCACAGCAATACTGCTGGGAATTCAGTGTTGGGGCTCCATTGCACTTCCCTGCCCCTAGCTGTAGGTACAGCACCAGGCCCACGGGGGCCCTGAGGTGCTCGTGCAGCAGCAAGATGTGGACATGTGAATTTGGTACACAGGCTAAACCAAAGCAGCAGTGCTGCATGCTAGGACGGCTTGCCTGAGCCAAGTTGGGGGCTGGAGGAAGGGCTGTAGAGACAACTCTGCGTATCAGTTGGGAATAGCTTGGCACATGTCTCGTGGACAGATGACTGGCTTCGACATGTAAACAAAGGCTAGCGCTAAGTGGCAGCGTATCAAGTTTGGAGGTGTCTGGTGAGGTAGGCCAGAGAATGGTGTGAGGCCCTACTATTTAAGCTTTCCATTATGGCCAGCAGTGGGAGAGAGGCATATTAACGAGATCTGCTGAGGACTGTAATCAGGAGGGATTGGGAAGGGGAAGGGCTAGGAGATTAGGTGCCAGTGAGGTTACATTTGGGAGCTACCCAGTGCCAAGTGGGGAGAAGGAGCATTAAGCCAAGGTACGTGTCCAGTGGGAGAGACATTGTTTTGATGAGACATTTAAAGGCTCCTTATCAGAGGGGTAGCTGTGTTAGTCTGAATCTGCAAAAACAAGTAGTCCTGTGGCACCATATAGACTAACAGATTTATTGGAGCGTAAGCTTTCATGGGCAAAGACCTACTTCGTCAGATGCATGTAGTGAAAGTTAAATGCATCTGACGGAGTGGGTTACATGCATCTGACGGAGTGGGTCCGTCAGATGCATGTAATTTTCACTACATGCATCTGACGAAGTAGGTCTTTGCCCATGAAAGCTTATGTGCCAATAAATCTATTGGTCTATATGGTGCCACAGGACTCCTCGTTGCTTTTAAAGGAGCCTTATGGACACCAGCTTTGATGGAAGTTTACCATGTTAATTTGGTCTCCTGTGCCACATCACCCATGCAGAGGAAGTCTAGGAAGAGACGTCAGAGGGCATTCTGGGCACAAAGCAGTGTTCCTGGGGCAGGAAGGGTTGGCTCCGAGTGAAAATGCCAGGTACAATACTGCTCGCCTCAAACCATGAGGCGCAAGAATAGCCATCGGTCAGAACTCAAGTGAGCTATGGGTCAACATTGGCAACACTGACTACAATTCTAGTCAGTTTCAGGACCCAAAGGCAAAGAGACAAACAACGCCCTGCTGGCGTTAGTCACTTAAGCAGATCTGAGACCCCCCACGCAGCAGGGGAATGGGCTGTACCAGGAAGAGGCAGTCTTGCTAAGCATATTCTCAAGTGCCCAGAGCACACATGGAGGAGAACTCCCCTCCATGCCAAGCCCCCCAGGTGGCATTTGTAGCCCAAGGAGCAGAGCCGCTAGCCTGATGTGCATTCGGCATTGGACGCATCTCCCTCAGATGCAGATACCAAGGCGAGAGAGGCAGGTGGGTCTGTAAACAAGGGCTTATGCGATGGAGAAAGGGGGAGGGGTCAGATGTGAGAGGACACCACGTGATCCTGTCCAGCTGCACAATGCTCTTCCCCAAGCAGCGGTTCAAGCCCTGTACCTTTGGGCATTAGGCAGCTACACCCAACAAGGAACCCCGGGCGTTCCCTAGAGTACAAGGCTGCTGAGGGGTGGGGCCAGCCCTGTGGAGACCTACTGTTCTCTTCTCTAAGCCCTCGCTGCTTGTCTGCGTCCTCAACACCCATGCAGCTCTGCCCATTTTAGGATTGCAGATGCTGCCTTCCCCCTAACCTGGGGCATGCACAGCAGCTCCCTCCATGGGAGAACCAGGAGGGGGAGAAGTCAACCAATTGTTTCATTCACCTTGGTTCTCACCCGGCTTGGTGGGCAAACATAGACACCGTTTAGAAACTGGCTTTCTTGGAAGAGTCAAGTCTCATGCTTATGCCACACGTCAGTCG